CAAATACTTTCCCCTTCACTGACTAATCACGCACCAGGTCGCATATTATTGGCTGGCTTCTGTGGCCAATGGCAAAGTAAGGGGAGTGATTCCCTTTGCCCCTTGTCCACGCTACCTTCACGTGCAGTGATTTTAGAGCGATGGAAAATGGATTGGATGGAAGATTTTGAGGTCTAGATCAAAGGGTCTAGCCATGCTTAAGTCCCTCTTTTATCATAACTTCCTTCCCCTCCTTCTTGTTCTCCTTCATGGTCGTGTATTTGCTCACTTTCCACCAAATTGCAGCATTGTTATACAGGAGAACTTAGCCAGAGGCTATCTTATTGTGCTGCCCTACGTCAACAAGATGGTTGGAAATCTTCAGCAATTCAACCTACAGGTGACAAACAGGAACCCCTATTTTAATGTCGTTTCTGACCTGCCTGGAGCACGAATGACTACAAGTGGTCAGCAACATCAAAATCCCTGGCATATTTGGTATCCCAAAGATCCCTCCCCAATCACTTCACCATGGTACTTGGTGACCCTGCAGCGGATCGACAGGGAGCGGCTGTGTCAGACAGAGCCTGGATGTGATTGCCGCCTGGGCAACAGTTATCCAAACCGTCTGGGGACGGGTCCGGATTGTGTTCTACCGCTTCGATTAGTAGCTATTCCTTCCAAGAAAGTTGGACTTCCCTTGGTGATCGACTTGACTATTTGTATAGCTGATGAAAACGACAACTCACCGTCCTTTAGGTTTTCTTCCTCTGCTCCTCGTTTTGGAGCTTCACCGGTGGTGAGCGTTCACTTCAAGGAAGATGCTCAAATAGGGGAATCGACTCGAATTCCAGCTGGTTATGATTCCGATGCCTATCCAGAACACACCGTGAGCTCTTACAGTCTCAACTGTCCAGAAAAGGACGTTCCATTTAGTTTGGTCTACGACATAAGCACTCCAGAGAGGCTAGATCTTCAAGTTGATAAACCCCTCAAGTTTGATGGACAATGGCCCCTGCATTGCACCGTGACGGCATTTGATGGAAAACACAGCGGAAGCATGCAACTCAAAATCCATCTGGATGACGTAAATAACCACAAACCTGTGTGGGAACCGCCGAGTATCCTCAACTCTGCTATCACTCTGATTAACGAAACTTCTGATGAATGGGCATTGGAAATTTCCGAATCTGTTCCACCATTCACAGTTCTTCTCCAACTCAAGGCTAGTGATGAGGACCCGGTGTATGGGAGGCTTACTTACTCTATGGAAGGAGGGAAGGAAGGAGGGTTATTATTTGATATTGACTCGAAGACTGGAGAAGTACGATTAGTAAGTAAGCAGGACTATGAGATAATTGGAAATGGAGCGGTAACTGTACCCCTCCTGGTCGCAGACAATGGAGGCCTCTCTATACCAGGAAAGCTCATTTTTTACCTCAAAGACGTAAACGATAATCGTCCTTTGATACGTTTTTCCGGAGGTGAAAAGCATGCCGAAATTGTGGAAAATAGTCAGTCCAATGTTTACATTGACTATATAACTGTTAGCGACGCAGATTCTGGAGTGTATGGTCAAGTGGAATGCTATCTCAAACCAGGCGTAATTTCGGACCACTTTCAGTTGACCCGAATAGAGGACAACCTGTGGGCCTTCCAGGCGGCGAAACCGATAGATAGGGAGTCGCTGGCGTCGACCACCGCCACTACCACTATCACTACCTCCACCCAACATAATCGGTTATATGCTCCTGGAACTCGCGTGGGAATAACTGTGGCATGCAACGACAATCCAGGTGCGCTGAAGGAATACCAACTTTCTGCTGAATCCACCATCCAAGTCACAATTGTGGATGTAAACGACAACCCTCCACAGTTTATAGGACTTGAAAAAAGCACCGAAAATGCAGTCTCTATCATCGATGTGGCGATTTCTGAAGGTGTCCCACCTGGAACTCCAGTGGTTCGCATAGCAGCTGAAGATCCAGATGTAGGGGACACCCTTACCTACGCCCTTCTACCCTTTGGTAACAAAAAACTGTCGATTGATCCTGTCTCCGGATTAGTAACGACTCAGGGCGTATTTGATCGCGAGGACGTGCCCATTCTAACTGGTTTCAAGGTGTTTGTCTTTGACGGCGGCGATGCAAACCATTCTGTTTCCGCTGATCTGCGAGTAACCATTCTAGATCAGAATGACAACAGTCCCGTCTTTCACTCACAGACTGTTTTAACCGTTCCTGAGGATAAACCTGTCGACAGTCTTCTGCATGTTATCAACGTAACTGATGCAGATGCAGGGGAGAACGGAACAGTAACGCTATTCTTCACTCAGCACCAGCAACCCGCAAATCCCTTCACTCTCCATCCAGATGGTCGATTATTTCTGACCCGGCCACTAGATAGAGAACGTCGTGAGCACTACGAACTGACCATAATTGCTGCGGACAAAGGAATCCCTGCTCTAAGTTCAACATTTACCTTGTTGGTACAAGTGGAGGATGTCAATGACTCACCTCCACAGTTTGAACTACCGGTTGGAAGCTTTCTCAAGACGGTGTCTTGCACACAATCCTACGTTGCACTTGACATAGCAGCAACAGATGCGGACAGCCTACCCAAGAATACGGTAATCAACTACCGGATTTTGAATGTGAAAGGACCTATTGGGGATTCAGCTGGACAGAAAGGCAGTACAGAGAAGGATAACTCTCCATTCTACATTGAACCAGATACTGGCGCACTTCTCTTCCATGGTCAGAACAGCGAAATGCCTACCTCGATTGATCCTTGTGATCGCACTGGGGTATACCGTCTCACCATCATGGCGTTTGATCCCCATCGACCGGAGTTGAATAGCAATGCAACGGTCACTCTCCACATTACTCGACCTCATGTGATGGAAGATGCGCCTATGATTGAAACTGCTACTGCAGAGACTGGAAACGCGTCCATCGGACTATCAAACCATTTTCTTCAGTCCGCCGACCCTCCCGCGGCCAATCAATACGTCCACGGAGCGTCAGACGTGAACGGAGGCGAAGAGGTCAGCATTCGTCATGCTGATGGTAATATTCACAGTGGCAGCGGAAGTATAGAAGAGGAGTCTGCATCATCCCGCTCCAACCGTATGACGTTTCTAGGGCTCTTCTTACTCATAACCGTCTTTATTGGACTCACCCTCCTTCTCGTCATCCTCATCTACCTCATCAAAAGACGCATTACTGTGGACGAAAGTTCTGCTGCGGTGGGACCGGGAGTAGCAAGAGGGGAGGTGCATGCCCCTCCACCCGGCCAGTACCTTTCCGAAATGACCTTGAAAAAAAAGGACTTTTTGGCGGATGCGTATTTGCCTCCTACCACCGTCTACGGAACTGTGAGGAGTGCACTCAATGCGGAACCTATTGAACGTAAGTCATTGTTTCATTATCCTTCAAAACCGGTTAATCCACAGATAGTGGATATCGAACCTTGGATTTTGTCCAGAAAATTATTCTAGCGATAAGAGAGCACTTATCTATCTGTGCATTGGCGAAGTGGCATCTGGGTACACAAACCAGCTAATTGCTGCTGTTCAGCGAGCTGAGATCAGCCGCGAGACAGGACAGGTTAAATCTCAAAAGGTTCTTCATCACAGTTAGAAGTCTACATACTTAAGCAGTAGTTATCCATCTTACAGATTTCGATGGCGTCGTTCACCACCAAGTCCTATTTACTAAGTGTATTGGGGTAGGGCTGTGAATTACCGCTTGGAGCTCGACAATGATGTTCTTTAGCAAGTACATCCCGTTTGCCAAAATAATTTCGTGGGAATACTAACCCTAAAAGGTAAACCACGCGGTAGTACTAAAGCTACATACCACTACTATCCATTCCCTCCCCCCTCCACTGTGGTCCGAATGCCACTCAATGATCATTTGAGTCATTCTTATCATATTCCGCCTTTTTCCTGTCTTATACTCTTTTAAAGGACAATTTGAGTTTACTGTCATGTTTTGAAATGGTTACAACGGTCTTTTGTCATGGATTGCTACATATTTGCATCAACAGGAGCACTCGTAGACCTTGTGAGAACTATAGTTGTTAACCTAAGATGGAGATGTTTTGAAGCCTACGAGGCTGGAAATAGTTGTTTTTCAAGCATGGATAAGGACTAAAAGACCTAAAATAATCGCTAGCCTGTCCCAAAATAGCATTACCCATTTTAGTCTATATGCGAGAAAGCTGGTATACTTTTTTTAAATGAGGTGTAACCAGCAAAGAGGAAAGATGGGAGGAAAGGAGGTCTATCTTCGAGTCCCTCTAAGTAGAATCAAGGACGAAAATAGAAGTGACTACCCCACACAACGGCTCCCAGACGCCACCTGCCACACCACAGTTGAGCTGAGAATGTGCCTTAGAGTGGAAGCTCGTCAAGGAGTACCGATTACCCTTTCCTCAAAGAAGGTTACTTTCTCGACAGAGTTAAAGCTTTTAGAAAAGGGGTTTTTCGCAGTAAAATGGGTGTTTCTTTTGATGTGATGTGACTGTTTAAAATATTTGTATTCTCTTACCCCCCAAAATCTAGAAAGCTGTGATAATAATGCAAGCTCAAATAATGACAAAAAGGAAGTAAAACTTTATAGTGAATAGGTAAGAAAGGAGAGGGCAGAGAGGCGAGGAGAAGATGGTATCAGAAGGGAGGGAGGTGGGGCTTACCTTTGTACCGTTTAAGCAGCATCTTCCTCATCAGCCCAGTCTCCCACGAATGTAGCAAAGAGACACACGGAAAGAGATGATGGCTTGAGGTGATTGTGTTTACTTGGTTTTAAGTACCACAATGAGGCAGATTATATCTCCCCAGAGAAACTGATGGGTGCCGCCAAGCATATATTCACAGGAGGGGAGATGAAAAAAGTACTTTACTTATCCCATCTCTTCCCCTTAGCGTTGTAGTTATTGTCGTGGCTTTATGTGCAGTTATTATCCAAAGTCATTTGACTACTCCGTTTTCGCGCAAATGTAGTGGAAATTTTGGTTGATTTGATCACATAAACGTCATATTTCAAAACTCAGGATATGTATGGGAAATTTTTAACTAAATTTGAAACCCAGCAAACAGGACTTCAAGTGCTTTATCACTTTTTGAGACACTTTTATTATGTAAGCTACATTCTTTCAACGTTCATAAAAATTTTATTTTTTAAACTTAGGTTTTCGTTCGTTATACCTAACCCACTGATTAACAAGTAAGAAAAAACTAGTTGGTTTACATTTAGGTAATTTATTTGCCTCTTAACTTCATGTTAACTATTTCCAAACCTTGTGCTACTGAATTCTTGTTAGCCCTAAAGGCAAAATTTTCTTTAACAAAATGGTAAACAGATTGTCTTTGGAGTAGATTTCTGAAACTCATAATTATGATTTCTACGAAAATCTACTTTTACATGAGAATGTTGGTACTGGTGAAGCTGATTGTCAACTTTCCACAACTTCTGGAGCATTTCGAGCCGGACTTAAGAAATACTTTTCAAAATGTGCGATCTCTTTGCCAAAATACAAGCCTCATGTCATCAGGAACATTGTAGAGTTAGTTTGCAAATAAATTTTTCATAGTCTAAATATTATTCCAAAAATGTCTTTATTTACTCAAAATTTGGGTACGAAGCACGCTGCATTGTAATCAGATCAAGACAGGATCAGGAAAAGTCTTTTAAGAAAACAACTTCCACTTTGATTTTTTTGAACAAACGCAGTCCTGTGTGCTTTTGTATCTCTGCTACTTCCAATTTACCCATTTCTTAGTTCCAATTCCTACGTATCCAGCCACTAGGACTGTTGAAAAGCAGTGAACCGCTGGTAAAATATGAAGCCTTTGAAGGGTCAATAACAATTTTCAAAACATTTAAACTCATGAGCAGTCTTCCAAATTATAACTTTCACTCCATGCACTGAAATTTTTCCTTTAGCTAGTCCATAAAGTAATTCCCCCTCCAATTTCCCTAAGTTTGAAATAGATTATTGACCAATGACCAGCTACGAAATAAAAATCAATGCCAAGCAGTATCCAATAGCGTCTGACCAGCCTGAATGATGGCATTTAGTAGTTGACAAATTACGTTTTACTTCTACCCATAGGCCTGGTTATTAATTAGCCTGTGAAATCGAGATGCCTGGAAAAGCTGATAAATTAAATGATGGGTCCATTTATTAGAGAAATGCCAAAAAGCATAAACAGTAGCTACAGTAGACGATTTTGCTTTGCTTATCTATTTCTACTTACTTTTGATTTGCGATGAATAAATGTCACTTCAGGCAGTGGTGATTGACATAAAGAGGAGGGAAACACATACACAAAGTCTCCCTTCCCTTCTTTATCCGCGCAGTATGGGCCAGCAAAAAAGACGCATGACTGATTTTTTGATTTCTTTGTGAATTGGTTAAGCGGGTGGATAGCTAGTTAGAATGGCTGAGCACGCGTTTCGTCTTTGTTGGGCGATTTGCGCTGATGCGTCGTCTTTGAAGCTGCCAGATGAGGCGTGACAGTAGGAGGAATGAGTTAAGAAAAAACTTTTAAGGCATGGAAAGGAGCCATACAACCGCACCTATGCGACTGCATTTTGCGTTGCGTGCCACTCTAGACCAACTAAACGTCGCAAGTGCTCCTTTGTTTTAGAAGTCTGGTAAACAACACCGGATAGCTTCTCACGCTTCCAAATTGATTACCATCACTCATCGAGTTCTAACTTGCAGCTTAAAATCCAAGTAGTTAACCGTACCGTATAATCAACTAAAGAATGTGACTGACAATAATGTCAGCTATTTGCAGGGTCTTGTAAGCAAAATCGGAATTCTCTTCAACCTCAAATTATGACAATGCGTGATGCTTAAGTTATCCATTGCCAAAAGATATAACTTATTCGATTGCACATAACCGGGACTGATTCAGGCTCCCATACAAACGGCATGCCCTGCTTTTAATTCCGAAGGCTTGCAATCCTACTCTTATCGCTCATCACACACAACGATAACTTAGCTCATGGCATGCAAAAGTCCTCACGAAAAAACAAAGGCCAAGGGAAAAAGTCGCTGGAGTAGATTTTTTGGTCAATGGAACTTGAACTACTTCTTCTTTTTTGGTTACTGATGTGGCGGAGATGCTATCACGCAGTTTACGCGCCTTGTTTTTCTATTTGAGTGTTTAACAACCCTCTACCTGTTTTAAGGCCAAACTGTGCCAAGTATGTGGGTCCTTTTGCAAATGGGTTACCACACAGTCATTGATTGGCGTTTTACGGTCTCCTAGCCCCCACTGACTAGCAAGTTGTTGATTTGCAATTTGTCTTTACTTTTCACGGAATTGCAAAACATTTGCTTGGATTTTGTGGACAAAAATATATAATCGCGACAGCAAAGTGGCATAAAATATAATCAAGTATAAAAAGTCGCTTAATTGATTGATGGTAGAATAGGGGGAAGGTTTGTGGATCTTGGTACTTTCTGATCATCTTGAACACTCCAAGTGAATCTAGTGAACACACGACAAATTATTTACCTCCTGGCTGATGGTCCCCTTAGTTTCGCCAAATTGACGCCAAGTCATGACAGCATGGAATGATTGTTTCAGCGGAAAATCACCGTTCCTAAATAAATGTGAACGACAATTTAGAATGGTGGTTATTGTGTTTATAAATGGAAGGGGTAAGGAAGGAAAAAAAATATGAATTAGTTTGTCTTTCGGAACACAATGATTGGTAAAGTGCTCTGCTATCCAACGAAGGGCGATTCATCTGAAATCAGATGAGGTGGAAAAGTAATGAGGGACAGAGGGAAAGGAAACACAGTAGTTTGCGGCGTTAGAAGACAGAATTGAACGGCACGAAAGATAATTGTGATCCCCTTAAAAAAATTACCGAAGCATCCACAAACGTTTTTAGCTTTCTTAGACTAGGAAAGGAGGCGCCACTATTCCACGATGGTGGATTGACGAATGACGAGGAATTTTTGAATGGAACACCTTGGATTACTGGTTACCACACACTCATCCATTATTCATTTGACTTCAAACAAGTTGGAATCTTTTTAGATCTCTGAGAATGGTGAGGAAAACGATCTCAGGATTATTGATTTTGATAAAGAAGATTATAAGACCTCCAAAATGTGAATTCAATGGTCCCTTAAAGAGACACTCGACAAAAGTTTTAGAATTGGCTCTGTGGCCTCTTCATCTTAACTAATGATGGACTTAAACCCATAAATTGATGCTTTATGGGTAAAATGTAGAATGAGCTATCAACTACATTCTCATCATTCGGTGGACCGAACAGGCATGCCGAACTGCCGGTTCCTCGAGGTAGCCTAGAATGTGAGAGATGTAGAGGAGGGTGACTTCTAGAAGGTGGTTAGGTGAATAATCACTTGTGTCTTTCTTGTGACCTTTGTCTAAGCTCATCTTTAAATTGGTATTTCCAATTAAATCATGATTTAACTCTTCACTTTAAACTTCCAATCTTTATCACGATAGGACACATCTAAATTTTCGCTTTCAAAGACAAACCCCTTTAGAGGGCTTATTCATCTTGATTTTGCCTCAATTCCTCTCCATTTTCTTTGGAAAGTATAATAACGAGAACCCATGTTATTAAGTTCTAAGAGTGTCAAA